TGCGTTATGAAAATAAATCACTAACAATTCAATCTCATATACGTTCATTATTAGAAACACCGAAGGTCATCACTGTAACAGCAGCAGAATTGCAAMAACTACATCATCATGTTAGTTCACATGTTAAAGCCTTAGAAGCCCTACAGCAACCTGTTAATAGTTGGGATGCTTGGTTAGTTACATTAATTTGTTATAAATTAGATAATACTACTGTTGGGGAATGGCAACTCCGTCAGAATACTCGAGAATTACCAAAGTTTAGTGAACTTGAAACATTCCTGTTGAATCGCATATCAGCATATGAGGTTGGCGATTTCAACAGCATCTCCACCATGGAAGCTGCACAAAGTCAACATATGAGACGAGTCCCTCAAAAAAAGKCATTATTTATCAAAGAAAATAATCATAAAAACACAACTATTWACAAATGTGTGTTATGTACAGGTTCTCATAAATTGCATGCCTGTGATCAATTCCTGGGATTGTCAGTTTCTGAGCGTTCAAAGGTAGTTAGYAATCATTCTCTTTGTTTTAACTGCTTACATCCTGGTCATAGTGCTGCGGTCTGTCGATATGGTAGTTGCCATAAGTGTGGGCGCAAACATCATACAAAATTACATGAATACCAGCATACCCCTAAACCAAGTGACATCTCAACAAATGAYTCAGAGCTGCAAGGTGAAGCACAATCATCGCACACTTCAATGCATGTACAACAACATAACACAGAATGCCAAGTTATGCTAGCAACAGCAATTGTCAAAATACACGGAAYAGGAAGTGAACAACATGAGCTGCGAGCAGTTTTGGACTCAGGATCACAAATAAATTTCATAACTCGTCGGTGTGCCAATCTCCTGAGACTAAAAACATCAATGTCAWTGTCAAGTATATCAGGCATAGGAACTCTATCCACCAAGTCTGCCAAACTTGAATCMACACTYCTATCATCACGTTTTGGATCATATCAAACCACTGTTGATTTGCACGTCTTGCCTGTCATTACTGGTCATCTACCAACGAGAACTGTTGACATCAATCAATTCAWTATCCCAGATCAAGTTAAATGTCAGCTTGCAGATCCYTTATTTCACAAACCTCAACCAATAGACCTATTATTAGGTGCTGAACTGTTTTTTGAATTGTTTATAGGTAACCATATCAAACTTTCACCCAAGTCATTTGCATGTGAGACAAAGTTGGGTTGGATAATCACCGGTTGCATTCCTGTTATTGAGTCGTTAGTATCGCAATCATTGGTCTCTACATCTATCACAAATCAGAGTAGCATTTCCGCACTGTCTCTCCAAAGTCAAAAAAAAATCACCCAACGTGCTGAAGAAGCTCAAGTTGAAAGTCATTTTCAAAGTTCAATTAAATTTGATCACAATGGACAATTCATAGTAAAGCTGCCAATCAATTGTGATCCTAGTGTTCTAGGAGATTCAAAGTATATGGCTACAAAAAGATTCTTGGCAATGGAACGACGGTTGATGAGCAACAAAGTCCTAGCAACAGAATATGAAAAGTTTATGACCGAATATCTAACCATTGGTCACATGGAGAAAATTCAAGATACAGACATAATCTGTCAACCCATCACTTACTATCTTCCYCACCATGCTGTGGTTAAAGAAAACAGTATAACAACAAAGACTCGTGTTGTGTTTGACGCATCAGCTGCTACATCAACTGGTGTTTCTCTTAATGATATCTTAATGCGAGGACCTACAGTACAACCAACATTATTTCAAATTATTCTAAGATTTCGATTACATAACATAGCCATCACAGGTGAYATTGAAAAAATGTATCGCCAAGTCAAAGTTGATCGGTCCGACTGTGACTTACAACGAATTGTATACAGGTCAAATCCAAGTGACCCATTGCAACATTATAGACTTCTAACCGTCACATACGGAACAAAATCAGCGCCTTATCTGGCCACGAGATGTTTATCTGAATTAAGCAAACGTTGCACCGATCAAGGAATCGCTAGAATAATTAAAGAAGACTTTTATGTAGATGACTTGCTAAGTGGTGGAACAACAGTTGAAGAGTGTTTTCAATATTATCAACAACTRACAAATGTACTGAATCAAGTTAATTTTCCTATCAGAAAATGGTGTTCAAATTCTGCAGAGTTGATCGCAAAAATACCGTCTGCTAATGAACAACATTATTCATTGCTGTTGGCTGAAGATGAGTCTATCACCACGTTAGGACTAACATGGCTACCAAATAAAGATATTTTWAAATTTGTACTAAAACCTTGGAATCCACAAACACGAATGACAAAGAGGTCATTGCTGTCAGATCTACACAAAATTTACGATCCACTTGGATTTATCACACCAGCATTAATAAGAGGCAAGATTTTCCTCCAACAATTGTGGACGCTTAAGGTAGAATGGGATACAGTTTTACCTCCTGACACACAGCTCAAGTGGACAACATTTTGCAACAGTCTTAAATCAATTGAGAGCMTATCCATTCAACGTTTAGTTTTATGCCATGCCAACAAACGAATTATTACACTTCATGGTTTTTGTGATGCATCTCAAAATGCTATCGGAGCATGTATCTATGTACGTTCGAAAACAGCAGATGCTGAAGACTCATGGACAATCGCACTATACACGTCAAGGTCACGAGTWGCACCTATTCGTACCACAACCATACCAAGGTTARAACTCAATGGTGCAACAGTATTAGTTGACTTGATGACTGAAGTTCGAAAAGAGTTCAAGGCCCTTAATATAGMCATCTCTGATGACAATRTTACATTGTGGACAGATTCCTCAATTGTTTTATCAYGGATAAACACAGATATTCCCTTAAAAATGTACGTTTCCAATCGRGTAACACAAATTCATGAGTCRTCAACCATAGCACAATGGAGATATGTACCATCACAAGAGAACCCTGCCGACCTCATWACTCGAGGAGTACCAGCACAGTCTTTAAAATCATCAACTCTCTGGTGGAAAGGACCAGARTGGTTAACACTGAACAGTAGCCATTGGCCTGAAGGTTTTACACATTYGATCGATATTCCCGAAATTCGCACCATCAAGTCTGTTCTCACAGCCACTCAGCCTGTCAGTGTTGACTCAACAAAGGATTATAATTTGTTAAATCGATATTCGAGTTGGACAAAACTCATTCGAATAACTGCGTATATTCAAAGATTTTSTAGCAATTCTAGATCTGTGAARGCTGAAAGGACCATCGATCACCTCCATGCCTTTGAACTTATTGCCGCCAAAAAAGTGTGGATAAAGATTGCTCAACAAAATGCATTTAAACCTGAGATAATATGTTTGGAGCACGGCACCCAACTATCTCGGCGAAGTAAACTTATTCGACTAAGTCCCTTTATTGAGAACGGCATCATCAGAGTGGGAGGAAGATTACAACTATCACAATTACCTGCCAATCAGCGACATCCTGCAGTTTTACCAAAATCACATCGTATAACTCAACTCATTTTCGAACACTATCACAAACAATATTTACATGCTGGTCCCCAAAATCTGCTCAATAGGGTMCGCCAAGAATTTTGGCCTCTTAATGCAAGAGACACAGCTCGACGCATTGTACATAACTGCAGCACATGTTACCGAGCCAAACCTCACACATTCAAACCAACGATGGGAAATCTACCGCAACTTCGAGTGACTCCAAGCCGTCCATTTACTGCAACGGGCATTGATTTTGCTGGCCCCATCAGTCTGCATTCAGGTCCTCGCAATAGAACTGTTACTAAGGCTTATATAGCAGTTTTCATATGCTTCAGCACTCGTGCAATTCATTTAGAAGTTGTTAGCAGTTTGACTTCCCAAGCTTTCTTAGCAGCKTTACGGCGTTTCTTTTCTCGACGAGGCCAGAGTTCACACATATATTCAGATAATGGYACTAACTTYTGTGGCGCTAACGCTGAATTGAAACGTCTTTATAAGCATCCATGTGATAACAATAAGACTGTTGTAGAGACATTAGCACAAGACGAAATTCAGTGGCACTTCAACCCTCCAAGTGCACCACATATGGRTGGTCTCTGGGAGGCAGCTGTTAAATCTACCAAACACCATCTCATAAGAACAYTAAAATCAGCTAARCTCAATTTTGAAGAATTAGCCACATTAYTGTGCCAAATTGAAGCATGTCTAAATAGTAGACCATTGACCCCTCAGTCAAGTGATCCTGAAAGCTTTGCAGTACTAACACCTGCCCACTTCTTAGTAGGAGGTTGTTTAACGCTACCTCCAGATGTACAACTTCCTGAGAAGCCTATTAACTATCTAAAGCGATGGCATATTGTTCAGGGAATGATGCAAGGTTTTTGGCGCAGATGGTCGACCGAATATCTTCGCACATTGCAAGTCAGGTCGAAGTGGAATGTAGTTACCAAAGATGCAGTCATCAAACTTGGAGATTTAGTACTAATTGTCGAAGACAACCAACCTCCGCTAACTTGGCGCACTGGCCGAGTTACACAGCTTCATRCGGGCTCTGATGACATTGTTCGTGTTGTAACAGTTACCCTGCCTGGCAATAAGTCATTACGTCGGCCTCTAGTAAAACTATGTCCACTGCCCTATGTCAATGCTGAAGAAACTTCAACATAATCTAGTCAAGTTCATCTCAAGTCAATCTAGTCAAGTTCATCTCAAGTCAATCTAGTCAAGTTCATCTCAAGTCAATCTAGTCAAGTTCATCTCAAGTCAATCTAGTCAAGTTCAACTCAAGTCAATCTAGTCAAGTTCAACTCAAGCCAATCAAGTCAAATTCAATCTACCCCTTAAGTCTTAAGATTAAGTTATTGTTCTATATAATTTTAGAGTTAGTTGAAATACTCTTTGTATTTCAACGGGGGGGAGTATGTTGGCGCCATACATCTGTTTCAAATTTGCCCGCCGTTTATGCTAGTCATACTCTTTGTTCACCACAGATGACATACCGTGGTAACTGTTCTTGACCACGATTGTTATCTATCTGTGAACAATTTGTTATATTATACGTTTGTTTTTCGTATTTCGTTTTTCCTTTCTGATCTGCTCTTGGTTGCAGCAACATCGTTTTTTCGTTCGTCATGGTCACGTTATGACTTTATATTTCAGTTCTGTTGCTGCAATCTGTAATACCCTATTGGTAGTCTGTTTTTTTGAGATCTCAATTTTCTATTATTGTCGTCACGCTCCAACCATTTTAGCCTCTGACTTCATATAATTATTTTGGTACGTATCGTTCCTTTCATTTAGTTGATTGTATATTCATATTTGTTTTCCAACTTTAGGGTGATTCGTAAGGTGTGTGTTCCACATGTGACCTAATTCCTAACCTCATATACTAATTTTGGCATAAGATTACATCTATATCATAAGTAGGGTAAGTTGGTGCACCAAAGTATAATTTTAATTGCATTGCAGCTTGTATTATTATTACCCTATGTATAATTGTATTGTTGCATTGCAACTTGTATCATTTTCACCCTATGTATAATTTTATTATTGCATTGCAACTTATTATATTATTATKATCATARRAATTACTATTGTTGCCATTGCAAATATCATTATATAATTTGTTATATTTTTTGTAACTGATATACTATTATTATTATTTATTACTATTTATTATTACATTTTAATATAAACATACAGTCCACTACCTAGTCTCTTTTTTGCTACTCTCATTATCCATAATTATAATTATATGAAACAGGTATACTTGTTATTGCTGCAAGTCCCCTGAAGTCATTAACATTGGTCCTTATCGAACCGGATTATCATAAATAATAATAGTAATAATATTCAGATTAATAATAATATATATCTAGTGTTGTTTTGTTCTTTTTATTGTAACATAAGCATTATTGCAGTAACTTGTAAAGCGCTCAAATTAACAAGTCTTAAGTTGTTGTAAAAGAACTTGTATAATACAATTAGCGCTTAATCGATAAGAATAGTAAACGTTCCAACTGCCGTCATGGATACCGAAGAACATAAATCATTAATACGCCGAAGAAAAAACTTACAAGTTGAAGTAGCTGCACATTTGAAGTTTGTAAAAAACTTTGTTGAATCTTCAATAGCYTTTCAGGCAGTAGAAGTCAGGTTATGCCAACTTAAGACATCAATCGATCGATTCGAAGAAATCCAAAGCCAAATTGAAATGTTAGATAAGAGAGATGACCAATCACAAGCGGATGAACGAATTAAATTCAATGATCTGATATGTGATGTACAAGCATCTTTAATGACACTAGCTGAAAAAGGTAAAAAACAGCCAATAAATTCAGATACAACAGTAAGCATCAGCGACACGGTTCGATTGCCAGCTGTTCCAGCGCCCACATTCAATGGTAATTTACAAAACTGGCCAGCATTTAGAGATTCATTTGATGCAATGTTCCATAACAATAAATCATTAGCCGATGTCCAAAAACTTCATTACCTAAAATCTTGTTTAACAAATTCAGCTAGTGATGTCATAAAAAGTTTTCCAACAACAGGGGACAACTACCAAAGAGCTTATGATGCTCTTATCATGCGTTATGAAAATAAATCACTAACAATTCAATCTCATATACGTTCATTATTAGAAACACCGAAGGTCATCACTGTAACAGCAGCAGAATTGCAA